ACACTTGGGCCAAAGTTCTTCCCTTACAGACTTCAAAGGCTATCTACGAAGACAATGTTTTCAGTGACACATCTTAAAAAGAAAGGGCCAACATTTGCAATGACTGCATTGTAAGATCCAGTTACACAAGCGCTTGGCTCTGGACCATCTTGCACACTGGCTCCCACTTGCAGGCATCCGCTTCTCCCAGGTCCATCTCAACCACATTGTGAGAAAGAGGGTCATGCAAACATGAGGTTCTGATTGGTATCCCAAGACCCACATAGGAGCTGAGCATAGTGGTGTGGGTCTGTAATGCCAGCACTGGGTGGGATTGCTCAATTTCCTACATCTCATTGGTCACTGAGCTCAGTAAAATAGATATATCCTGGGTTCAGTGTCTCAAAAAACAAGGTTAAAACCATAACGTGTGTGTGTGTGTGTGTGTGTGTGTGTGTGTGTGTGTGTGTGTGTGAGTGATGTGACCCACATGTGTGCAGGTGCCCAGGAGGAAAGCACTTGATAACCTCTGCCCACACCTTGTGGGTACACACCACACCCACACACCCACACACACCCCCCCACACACACACATGCCTTCACCCACACATGGTGGGGGGAGAAGAATGGAGGTCAAGCCTGGCTGGGATCAGAGACCCAAGGGAAAGAATTCCAGTTTTGACACTAGACTGGGGTGATCAACAAAAAGCTTACTTCTGCTTGGTTGAATAGAATGGAGAACCGAGAGAGTCATTTCGTCTTCAACTTGGTCTCCACAGAAAGAAGAAATAGTTGCCCATCCTTGTAAGAACTCAGCCTCACCCAAACTTCAGTTCCAATTATACTCTCTGAGAAGTCCATGCAGCTCTCAAGTTCAAAGTGAGTTCACCTTGTCCAAAACCCTGGGAAAATACCATGCTCGTTCTGTCACTAGACAACTCTATCACGCTACCTTATGGGGTCCTCCATAGCATTTAACACAGCATTGCTCCCAAGCGCTCATCATAGCAGCACAGAGCATGCCTAACATTCATGAAGCATTTCTTCTGTATCAGATTTTGTACTAAGGCCACTTAAGTAAAACCACAGACCCCATAACTGCCATGAGGTTGGTGCTACTGTCAGCCACATTTTATGAGGCGAAAAACAGAGAAAAATCAAGCAACTTCCCCCAAGCTCATGGGGCTTAACTAGTCTGGATTCTGCGGGCTCTGTGCCTGGTACAGATGTGTCACATAGAGGACAGTCAAGGTTAACTGAAGAATGATGTTGGGGACGACTCAACCTTCCCCCCTACCACATCCTCTTTCCAACATTCCTACTGTCCTGTGTGGTCCACCTGTATGCCCTCCACCCTGTTAATAGTACAGATCTACCTGCAAACAGGGCTCAGGAGAAGAAAAAGGAAAGTCAAAGTCCCGTGTCTGTGGAATGTGGGGAGAGTAGCCTCTACAGTGCTAAGATGCATGGAGCAGCTGCGTCTACAGGTACTTGCAGATATGGGAACATATTGGGTGGCATGATTTATGCAATTTGAGGTGTCCAGGTGTGGTGGTTCGAATGCGCTCATGCGTTTGTTTGAGTAATTGGTCCCCAGTTAGGGGAACTGTTTAGAAGGATTAGTAGGTGTGGCCTTGGTTGGAGGTGTGTGACTCGGGTTGGGCTTTGAGGTTTCAAAAGCCCATGCCAGGCCCAGGGTTTCTCTGCCTGATGCTTGTATGTAGTAATATAAAGCTTTCTCTCAGCCAGTCCTCCAGCACCATGCCTTCTGCTTCTTGTCACGATGAGTATGGACTAACTCTCTGAAACTGTAAGCAAGCCCCCAGTTGGATGTTTTCCTTTATAAGCATTGCCTTGGTCACACCTGTTGACAGCAATAGAACAATAACTAAGACACCAGGTCACATAACTGCCTGGGACAAGCTTCATATTCCCAGGTCTACCTTGTGTGTCTCTGTTATGGATGCCTGTCTCCACTCCAGCCACAGGTTTAGAGAAACCAAAAAACAGAACTCTCAGAGGCAAATGAGGCCAAACTGTGCTCTAAAAGCTACAGCATATTCTAGGCTCAAATCACACCTGGAGTATTGTTCCAAATACCAACCACTGTAGTTCCCACCAGGCTGAAGACAGAGAACCTTTGGTGGTACCCCCAAACTGTAAAGAATATCTGGAGGGTCGCTGTTTCTCAGGGTAGGGAGAGAGGGTAGAATCATCACATAGTAAGTGCTGGGCTCATCAAGGCTCTAGGAAAAAAACTAAAGCAGCCATGGACATCAGTTCAAGCATCTTCCCAGCGAGAGACTTCTCCCAGACACCACAGTGTGGTGCAGAGTGAGGTTTCACTGTGTGCTGAACTGTGTACACCGCTCCCCACTTCCTATGTCTAAGCCCTGACTCTCCACATGATGGTGTGGTGGGGCCTTTGGGAGATGCTTAGTTATAGATGGGTCTTAAGGGTACAATCCTCAATCCCAGCTGGCTTTCCACCTTTGAACATACAAAGAGGTCATGTGAGCTGGTGGTGATCACGCATTAGCTATCACCAGAAACTGAGCTGGCCAACACCTTGACTTTGGGCTTCCGGGCTCCAGAACATAAATAGATTTCTGTTGTTTAAGTTTCTCTGTCTGTGGCACTTGTTACAGCAACCCAAGCAGACTAGTGTGGATTTTCAGATGCAGGTGTTCAGGCAGGAGTTCAAATCCTGATCCATGTTGAGAGTTGTGCAACCATGGGCACGTCACACAGTTTCCTCACTCATGGTCTCCACCTCTATAAGTTACATAATGAAGAGATAGCCGTGTGGGGACATAGGAGGTTCCTCAAGGTGTCTAGGGCACAACATATTTACTTGCACAACAGAAACATCTTTCATAGTGACGGGTAGCTTGCTAGCCACCCTCAGACCACAGAGGTGTTTTGTTATGTCTGCACCAAAGCTTACAGAAATTTACATTTTTTAAAACCAACCTTTGGCTGGGCGGTGGTGGAACATTCCTTTAATGCCAGCACTTGGGAGGCAGAGGCAGGCAGATCTCTATGAATTTGAGGCCAGTCTGGTCTACAAATCAAGTTCCAGGACAGGCTCCAAAAGCTACAGAGAAACCATCTCAAACAAACAAACAAAAACCCTTAGAGAGTCAGATATACCTTTAAAAATAATTTAGAAAAAATAATAAAACTTAAAATTGTAAAAGAGTTGGGTGCAGTGGCTCATGTCTTTAATTCTAGTACTATAGATCTGAAGAGGCAGGCGATCTCTGTGGGTTTGAAGCCAGCTTAGGCTACATAGTGAGTTCCAGGACAGCCAGAGCTACACAGTGAGACCATTTTACATAAAGAAAATGAGACATTTTACATAAAGAAAAAAAACTCAATTTCAGGTTTTCTGGGAGCATTTCTGCATGCTGCCCAGCCAGCCTCCCCATGCAGAAGACCTCTTGGCACCTGGTGGCTGGGTTGTGGGGCAGGTGACATCAGGGTTGGCTCCCACCTTCCTAGCTGCCCACAAAGATCTTTGAAGTACAATGTCAGGATCTGTCTCCTGAAGTGAGAAACAATTAGCACATTCCTGAGTCACTGGATTATTTATTTATATTTCCACTGGGGACTGAAGAACCTGCGGGTAGGGGCAGGAACTGGGCTTGGAGTAAGCTGGCTTCTTTCTTGCAAGTCTGAGGCTGGTGACCCAGCTTTGCCCCTGACACCATACCTTCTTGGGACCTCACTTTCTTCCCTGTAAAATGAGGCCTTGGGTTAGAAGGTCTCTCTTGTTTCTTTCCACATTTATGCAATTGTGACAAGAAATTCAAGTACATAGGAGGTGGAAATGTAACACAACCGCACAGCTCGCTTATGTGCTGTACAGGCTTGAATGAAAACAGAGCTCTTAAACGCCAGAGCTCTTAAACGCCCAGGCGACCTTAACACAGACCTTGATTCAGTGTAAACAAGGCTTGAACAATAGCCTTGTTTGTTTTTTGGGCCACTGCAGGGCTAGGTCTTTAGCCTAGATATTCTCCCTTTAGCATACCCAGAGAGGAATAAAAGGCTAGCTAATTCAGCTTCCTGGCCCGAGCTGAGCCTGGGGCTCTGAGCACTGCTCCTCTCATTTCACCAAGACGCACGCCCAACTGTGCCAACACCCCATCTCCAGCACCTTCTGTACTTAGGCTTCCTTTCACTGCAAGCACAGAGACCCGTGCACCTGCTGATTCTCCCACTGGAACCCTCTCTCCCTAATGAATCCCTGATGACCCTCAGACCTTGGCATAAGCATCACCTCCACTGTCCCTGGACTCTTGGCAAGACCAAGTCATATTAACATGCTTTCATCATATCAGCTCGGTCACCACACAGCTCATGACTGGTTGACTAATAATCATCTTTCCACCAGACAGTGGGGAGGGGATGTGACTCAGTTGACAGAATGCTCACCCGCTATGCAAGAGGCCTTGGGCTCCTTCCCCAGCATCTTATAAACCACAGATGGTAGCACTTATTTGTAATGCCAGCATGCCAGGAGGTGGAAACAGGAGGATCAGGAGTTCAGGGTCATCCTCAGTTTATAGTTAGTTCAAGGCGACTGTAGGCTACCAGATACCCTGTCTCAAAACAAAACAGTAACAAAAACCAGGACAGCAGGGTCCACATATGTCTGCTCCAGCACCTAGCCATCAAGGCGGTACTCTAGCATTTGTTACTAAGTCTTTTATTAACAGACATAACTCTCAAGTAATCTGGCTCGAAACACTAAGTTGCATAGCCTAAACCAGTGTTCAACACACGTTTATCGAATTAGTGCCAGCTACCGTCTATCAAGCCCCAACACAAAGTGCATAACATGCATGAGCATAGGCATCATATCAGAATGAGAAGCCTAGATGGTAAAGGTCTCAACACGACAGACACAAGAACAATTTAGTGGCAAGCAGTAAGCAAGGTGGTAAGGATGGGAGGGGGAGAGGACCCCAAGCCTCCTAAGGAAAAAACAGCACTGGTTTTGGCCAGCCAAGTACCTGATGTTCTCGTTCAGTACATATAGCTCATTGCTCTGCAAGCCGCCCCCTTTGAAAACGTTGATCACAGCTGTCTGCACACTGTAAAGAGACAGAAACACTCGCCAGTTAGGTGATCTGCCTCCAGGGGCCATTTTTCAAACTGTTCACAGGGGAGGTCCTGGAGGAGCTGGGAAGCCCTAGGGGATACTCGCAGTCATTTCTTCTGTCCCAAAAGTATTGAGGAGGCTGGGGCAAAGAATACAAAGGCAGTTCCAGGCCTCTTGTGGGCCACAGGGCGTGTTCTCCTTGCTCACATGGAGGTAGGCAATGGATCATCTCTCTGAGAACTGCCAGTCCTGAGGCCGGCGAGCATCCAGATAGCATTATCGCCAGCAGGAGCCGACCCTGTCTGCTTTTTACTGGGTGGTCACCAACTTCTCAGAAACTGTAACTGCTTGCCTTTATAACAGAATTTTCCATGGGCCTTCCTTGTCCCTTTGTTTCACCCCAAGGAGGGAAGTATACTGGCACAGAATTAGGCTTTTAAAGGGTGGCAGTCAGGGCTCAGCTCCACTCAACTCCGGGATCCTCAGCCTAAATCATCAGCAGAAGAGCAGATTCTAATCTTGTTTGTGCTGAGGAATTTTACAAAGGACAGTGATCCTCGGAACATTCCACGCAGCCCTGATGCACTGCATCAGCTGAGTGTGCCTGATGGCCTGTTTATCCAGAGGCCAACACAGATTTGGAAACCAGTGGCCCACAGATTTCCAAGGCAGTACTTATGGGCTGATCTGCTCCAAGCACTGTCTACGAGCTCTGCTGGATACCTTCCAAAGCTCCATCTCCTCTCCCAAGCACCAGCGGCTCAGAAGAAAGAGACTGTGGCATACGCCATTCATTGAGCTTTGCACAGAAACACACCTAAGCTTCCTAAAGGAAAAACAGGTGATATGAGGTCACCTGAAAGACCCCACCCTTAGTTACTCACCCTGTGTAGCGTGTTAAGGGGCATAAAGTGGAACTGTAAATTCTAACTCAATGATCTCAGGCTAGTAAAATGAACCCCGAGAGGCTACATTCTCTATGAAAACAGGGACACTCGCCCCATTTATCATATTGTCCATGATCAGACTTCATGAGCAACGCTCTCCGAGGCAGCAGATGTTCGGCTTACCCTCAGATTACTCCACATCCCTCTCTGGCCTCCCAGGCCCTTACCTGTTCCAGGCAGAGTTGGAACTCAGCTGCAGAGCTTGCCGGGCAGCCTGGAAGCGGGGCAGCTCGCTGAGCACAGGGGAGCTCATAAATCGTGGTCTGGGACGGCGGAAGGAGCCCATCTTGTGGAACTCAATGGGCAGGAGGGGAGCAAGGCCTCGGGTCATAAGTCCAGATGAGGATTGAGCTGTGTCTTCAGGACCAGACGTTTCTGGCTACCCACGGAAAAGGCGTCTCCCAACGCTGCTTCTGGGCTCTCTTAAAACCCCTCTCTGAGCCAACACCTGAAATGACAGGCAGCCTCTACTGAGAACCTGACTGAAAGCATAGAACTAAAGGATGTTGGCTAGACTTCTAGCTAAACGATCCTAAAATCAATGGCACAGCAAGAGCCTCTATTGCCACCGAGGCTCCTGTCGTGCGTGCGTGCGTGTGTGTGTGTGTGTGTGTGTGTGTGTGTGTGTACACTAGGCATGGACCCAGGACTTAGAGCATGGGCCAGCATTCTATGACTGAGATACACACTAAGCCCTAACAGAAAGACAGCCTTTGTGACTGCCTCAAGTGAAATGTAAAAGCTCCTTTTCCTTGACAACAAAGACTTTCCACCCTCTGTCCCATCAGTCACTACTACGTGTTGGTCAGTATTTCTCAGGTCATGACCGTTCCTTCACTCAGGCACATCTTGCTATCCCTTTCTTACCTGCCAGTTTTTATTCAGTCCAGCAGGTCATATTTACTGTTAGTTGTATAACAACCATCGTAACACGTCAAGCACCCCAAGTCTCCAAGGCCCAGGCCCTGCCTTCCAGGAATTCCCACTCTATGGTAAAGATGACTAACAATCCCTGTACCTGTTCATTCAATAAACACGCAGTGAACCTATAAGCTCCAGTCACTGAGGTACTGGGCAGTGATAAGATGACAGCATGGGACTGTCCCATCTCTCCCATGTAACTGTCTTATGGTCCCACCCCAGGCCCTTTTCCAGGCTTTTAAGCCAATTCTTATTCTCCTTCACCAGATGATCTTCCTTTTTGCTTTGTACATTTCTAGATCCAACTAATTCAGTCAGACTGGGTCATATAATCTTGTTCCTGAGCAGGGTTAGTGTGCAGACCTGTAATCTCAGCGGACCCAGAAGGCTAAAGCAAAAGAATCTGAAATCCAAAGCATTCCTGGGCTACAGAGTGTGTTAAGGTCAACCCGGATAATTTAATTAAACCCCCATCTCAAAATAAAAAGTACAAAGTTATTTTCAAAAGTGTCAGCAAGATGGATCAGCAGATAAAGGTATGTATCTGCCACCAGCATGACAGCCCGGAATTCAATCCCTGGGACCCACATGATAAAAGGAGGCAGCCAACTTCCACAAGTTGTCCTTGAACTTCCATAAGTAGGTTGCACACACGCGCACACACATACAGAGAGGGTAAATAACATCTGTCTTACGTAAAGAGTGCTGGGAATGTAACTCAGACTCAGAGCACTTGCTTAGCGGGTATGCATGCCTCATGCTCTTTGGGGTCAACGTTCAGTTCCTTGTAGCAAAACACAAGACGATGGCGGGAGGCGATGGCTTTGCAACGAGCTTTGATTCTGGGGTTGAGGAACTAACACAGGCCCTCCCAAGTTGTGTGACTTCAAACACTGTGAGTGTAGTGTTCTCAGGTGCTGAAGGACCAATGTCACAGGACTGGGAGGGATAAAATGAGATTGGCTGACACGCCCAGCAGAATGGCAGAGCACCGCCAGGCTTTACTTCAGCAGCCTGGAGGATTGTTAGAAACAGCCAAAGGCACTTTCTCTTAAATAGTTTAGCAGATTTCACTCAGGGAGAGCTTTTGTTTTTGCTTGCTTTGCTTCTTTGTTTGTTTGTTTTTAACTGTTACTTCTGGTCAAGTTAACTCAGATAAGTCCCAGATCCTAAGGAGAAAAAGAAAAGGAAGATTCCAGCCATGAGTGCACGAGTGTTATCCTGCAGGTTGGCAAGGAAAGTCCCACAGTCTCGGCTGCAGCACTGGTGGACAGGGAGGGAACACCACAGCCAGCACCATGACAATGAAACTGGTTGGGGAGGCACGGAGGTGCTGGCGACTTTGTGTAGGCAATGGGCCCACTGACACCGGATTCACAAGACCAAGGGCCACAAGAAGGATGGCGAGCCCCCTTTATAACTCTGTAACTGCTCTCCTTAAGGGGATCAGCGTTGTGTGCAGTGTTCTTAAACAGTCTTTACCTGGAAACCCTGCGTACTGAGAAAATCAACAGTTATCAAAACTGACCAATAAATGTTGCAGAAGCCTGTTATGTTCCTGAGAGGGTGTCAACAGGTTTCCAAATGCTCCAAAATCTGGAAGCATCTATGCACACCACTGATGAGGGGGAGATGAAATAAAACCATGGGACCCTCAGAATACTAATACTGGCTGGAGTTTTCACTTGGCAGCAAAGTACCCTGTACTTAGACAGAATGTCTCCCTGGCACCTGATTTGGAAGGCCTGTGAAGTACAACTCACTGTGACTCCCGGACATTAGCTCACTGTGTGAGGATCTCAAGTCAAAGGCAACGAAGCTGCCACCCACTCTGGGGCACTAGCTCAGGGAAGCAGAAGACTGCACAGGACACATTGTTATGGGTTGCACACATGCCACTTCTCCTGGGAGCTGAGATTGCAGAGCATCTAATGTGGCTCCTGCCTCTCCGAGTCTCAGTAACAGCTCCCAGGTCTGATTCCAAGCTATCTGAGCACCACCCACACAACACCCGAGGCAGCCCTGGTCATGGCACAGCTCCAGCAGCATGGCCTGCCCCATTATAAACAAGGGTAACTTTCAGCCCAAAGGACTATCAATGACCACAGTGCCCACGTCAAGGACACACACAGTAAGAAGCTCCCGCTGACTTGATTACAGCCTCCAAACCTTGTCTTCCTCGAATGCTGAAAAGATGAAGGGAGTATGTGGTCCACACCATCCCTGTTTGTCACAGAGCCCAGCAGCCGCATGGAGACCAAGGGAGGAAGCTATGGGACATGCTGACAAGGGCCTAAAGAAAGGTTGGCACACCCTGTATACACCTGCTAAGGCACTGGCCCGTCAAGCACGGGCTTGTCCTGACCCACATGTGACAAGTCAGAAAGGGCCTAGGAGTGCAGTCATTTAGAACCAACAAATATGGAGCAAATGAGTAAACACACTTATCTAGAATCTCCAACACAGGATTAAGCCAACATGGCCTAGAACTTCCATTCCCCAGTGCCAGGCCTGAGTTCTGCAGCTCCAGGAGGCCATGGTAGGAAGACCTTGACGGCCGGCAGGAGATTGACTCACACTGAACACACAAACCTTAGCTCACTGCTCAAGACAAAGGTAGAGTTAAACATGAACGAAACATGGGCAAGCTGTCTGATGGGATACCGGGCACTGTCACTAAGGTGACTTAGTCAGCCCTCACAAAATGCCATCTGAAGCTAAGAGAAGTTAAGTAACCAACCTGAAGGCACACAGCTAGCTAGAGGCAAGTCCCTGACGTGTCAAGGTTGACCTGCCTTTCCAGCCCATCTCCACCATCCACACTACTAAAATAAGACAGGATCCCAGAATCAAAGTTTGAAATGTCAATCACCAGCCTTCCTATCAAAACCTAAATCCCATACCTCCGAGATAAGCGATCTACCAAAGTCAACTCCATTGCCACACGGATTGGGACAGAAGGAACCAGGAGAAAGGACACCACGAAGAAATGCAGGCTGTGCTGGTCAGGCAGGCAGACAGTCACCCTTACCCACTGTGTGACCTTGGACAAGGTACTCAACCTCTGAAGCTTCGATTTTTCCCTGGGGCAGGGGTACACCAACAGTGAATCCTTGGGGTACTGTAAGTATTTGTGAAGCACTTGCCTGCAACAGGGCCCGGCAAGTGGCAAATGTGACCCAGTACTGACCAAATCAACAAAAGAACATTGCTTGGTATTGAACCAAGATTGCCCAGCCCCCACAGCAGTGGGAAAACAACAATGCTCTCGGTTGCTAGGGGCTTCCCCAGAATCTGAAACACATTGCCTCCAGTCAGGACACTGACTCTGTCACAGAAACTGACTTTATTTCTTCAGGCCTTTGGTAACTCACACACTGAAGCTTCTCACCGCTCTAATCCACATATCCCCTGCTTCTAAATCTCACCTAACCCCAGGCTGGGGATGCAGGTCCACCAGAGGACCCGTGTAGCATGATGTAGCATGGCACCAACATGTGCCATGGTACATGTCCGTAATCCAAGCACTGCAGAGATGGAGACAGGGGATCAGAAGTGCATAGGGAGTTCAAGGCCAGCCTGGGCTACCAGAGACTCTTTCCTATAAACAAGAAAACAAACACACATACAAATAAACTATCACCCAACCACAGGAAGCAGGCAGAGCAGGGATTCTACCCTTAATGAAGTCACAGAGGCAGAGTTACTCACTCAGCCAGGACTGGAGGGCTGCAAGAAACCCACAGCTGATCAAGAAGGTTCTACGTTTAAGCCTGGTCCCACAGTGTATCAGCCCAGGCGACTGGTTTTGCCTTTGTTTCTTAAATATTTCAAAATGTTCTCATTCTGATTCACATTTGAAAACTGTGCATGTGCACACAAGCACATATTTCAGTCATAACAAGGAGGCAGTTGGCAGCTTGAGGAATACAACACTGCCTCAGAAAGCCAAGCTCCCGCTTTCTGGGCAATGGCATATTTGCTCCTATAGGAAAAAGAGAGTTAAACATTCATGCTGTCTGCAACAGGAAGTGAAAGTCTACCCGAAAGCTGACAGTATACATGCAGTATACACACTGATGCTATCCATGACATCACACATAGCCATATAGAGCCACTAAACACTTAATATGTGGTCCGTGCAACTGAGGAGTGAGTTTTGAATTTACTTAACTTTGTGTCTGTGCCTACATGTCCATGTGTGCACACCTGTAAGAGTATTATTCATCCACCTATGGAGGCTTGAAGTCACCATCAGGTGTCACTCCTCCTCCTCAGGAACCATCTACCTTGATTTTAAAACGCAACTGACTCAGCTTCCCCAAGAAGCTTCCAATAGCTCCTCAGCTTGTGCCCCCCCCATGCTAGCACACCAACTGGCTTGACCTTGTGCAGGTCTTGTGCAGGCAGCCACAGCTGCTCATGAGTGCAAGGGTTCTATCATGTCTAGGAAATACTGCTTCCCGTTAGTCTTCTTCAGTTTTCTGCCTCTCGCACTCTTCCCACTCTCCTCTTTAGCAATTGTCC